CAAGGAGGACGAAGACGGCGACCGGGTCCCGCTGACCGCCGCCGCGCGCGCAGAGGCCGCCAAGCGAAGCTGGCGCAGGGCCTCGAGAGAGTTACAGAAAGAGAGTCAAAAAGAGGCTCCGAGGGTGTGGGCGATAGAGAGAGTCAAGAAGCTCCTCGGGGGAGAGAGAGAGGGGGGTCACACTGGGCAAATCGGCCGATTTCCCTCCCGCTAAATCATCACGGCCCCGTAACACCCTCCGCGCGCGGTCAAAGGCTTCCCAGGGCCGGTCCATGACATGAACCGATAGACACAAGCAAAAAAAACCGCACCTCTAAGCTTATCGGGCACCCCGAGGCCCATACGGCGTCCCGGCGGGCCCCGGCGGAGGTCCGGCGCGGCGCTCCAAATCCGCACTTCGCGAGCTTCTACGGGAGTTCACGCGGCCTCTCCGCCTCGTGAGGCACACCCCACACCCACCACGAGCCCTGGGGCCGTGGGCGGACCTTTGGCCGCGGCGTCCGGAGCTTTAGTCGTCGAACATCGGCCGCCAACTAGGCCGTCGAGCGAACGTGTCCGGAGAGGCTCTCGGATGGGTCCGGCAGCGGTCCCATGGACCCAGAAGCTCGCCCCGGCGGAGCACTCACGCTCGACCCCCGCCCCTGGTCACCCTGACGTGCCCTTGGACAGCCGTAGGGGCTCGCATGACGACGTTGGCGCCCGCGACGACGCCCTCCCCGACGACGTCGCATCTGGCAGACTACTCGGGCGCGGCGGCGCGGAGGATCACATGGTTTGGGACTCTGAGCGATGGCAGAGGCCTTTTACTGCAAACGAGGACGCCCCGCGAGGCCCCGTTGGCCGGGAGTGGTGAGTGGGACCATAAACAAGCACTATATCCCCTACCGCGACCAGCCCACACACAGCCCAAACCGCTGCCAAACCGGCCCTGGTCACGCAGGCGGGGAGGCTGCCGGGGCGCCCAAACAGTCCCTCACGAACGCCACACGGGCCACCACGGCCCGTCCGGCGGCCCGAGTGCCGCCCCACACCCGCCCGACGCCCTCGGCCAGCCAGCGCCCACTCTGAGAGGCTTCACCGCCGCCAGCGCGCCGAGCGCGCCGCCCTCTCCTCGCGCCACACGGGCCCCTGGCCGCACGCCCGAGAGGCGGCCCATAATTTGAGTCGAGACGCGCCGCCGGCCAGCCAGCAGCTCGCCCGCCACCCACAGAGTGCCGCCGCCGCCCCCAGCCCGCACTGGAGAGGCTCTCCCGGCCGCTAGCCGCTGTCGCGTCGCCCGGCGGCTGCGCTGGCAGCGTGGCGGTGAGGGCGGTGGGGGAGATGGCGGCGGCGGGCTGCGCGGTGGCGGTGAGGGAGGTGGCGGCGACGGGGGCGGGGGTGACGGTGGCGGCGGGCTCGGTGGCGGCGGCGAGGGCGGCGGCGGCGAGGGCGGCGGCGGTGAGGGCGGAGGGGGAGAGGGCGGGGGAGGGCTCGGCGGTGGCGGAGACGGGGGTGGTGGCGAGGGCGGCGGAGGCGAGGGCGGGGGCGGGCTCGGAGGCGGTGGTGACGGGGGTGGCGGCGAGGGCGGCGGTGGCGAGGGAGGCGGCGGCGATGGCGGGGGCGGGCTTGAGGAAAGAGGGCTGGGCGGTGGTGGTGATGGTG